ATGTGTGCCAAGTTTCGTGAAAATCGGTCCAGATTTAGATATAGCTCCCATATATAGTTTCGTCCGATTTCATGTAAATGGTACACCAAAGTCGCTATATATCTTTCGATTTGCACGAAATTTGGCATAACGTACTGAGTTGAGCCTAGAAAGATGTCTGCCAAGTTTCAAGAAAATCGGTCCAGATTTCTATATAGCTCCCATATATAGTTTCGTCCGATTTCATGTAAATGATGCACCAAAGTCGCTATATATCTTTCGATTTGCACGAAATTTGGCATAACGTACTGAATTGAGCCTAGAATGATGTCTGCCAAGTTTCGAGAAAATCGGTCCAGATTTAGATATAGCTCCCATATATAGTTTCGTCCAATTTCATGTACATGGTGCACCAAAGTCGCTATATATCTTTCGATTTGCACGAAATTTTGCATAACGTACTGAATTGAGTCTACAATGATGTCTGCCAAGTTTCGTGAAAATCGGTCAAGATTTAGATATAGCTCCCATATATAGTTTCGTCGGATTTCATGTAAATGGTGCACCAAAGTCCCTATATATCTTTCGATTTGCACGAAATTTGGCATAACGTACTGAATTGAGCCTAGAAAGATGTCTGCCAAATTTCGAGCAAATCGGTCCAGATTTAGATATAGCTCCCATATATAGTTTCGTCCGATTTCATGTAAATGATGCACCAAAGTCGCAATATATCTTTCGATTTGCACGAATAATCTTATACTTCATTGAAGTTTTTTCTGGGACATTTGGTTATGTTATCAGGGAGCTGCAGATCGCTTTTAATAGAGTGATATGGTATATATAATAATATAAAGCGTTGGCAACATGTTACCCCATTTTTCATAGACTTTCTCGGCTGTACTTTGGCTGATTTCATTAGACTTCGGTCCATGCTGTTTTTTATAAAGGTTATAAAAAGCAAGATCAGTTGTTTTTCATAAATGAATTTCGTTTTTCCAGATCTCTAAGGAATTCACAGATACACATTCCAATGTTAACACCCTTTTTGGAACGATCATTTCTCGTCAGATTTGCCCGGATGTACAATGGCTTGCCATTGCCTTTAAGATCTTTTAATTTTTCATTATACACTTTTCGAATGAAACTTTTAGAATATTTTGTATCAAATTATTCTTAATCAGCCTTATTCTGGATGTCAATTCCACGTGAATTTACTCGCTCTTCCCCTTCGTCTTATTCTGAACAACATTTTTATGTGAATTTTTTCGCATTTTCGCTTTCGCCTTATTCTGAATGAAGTTCGAAAGCGAAAAAATCCGCTTTGGGGGAAAATTAGGTATTCTGGATTACAGGGAGAATGAGATGAAATTTTGTGCGAAATTTTTCGCTAATAAATTCAAAGTGAGTTGACTACAAAAACATAAGTAATAAATATTTTTATGAAAATATTAACACAATACTTATTCTATGACGATTTAGAATATTAAAAATGATAGTAAGCAAATATTTATCTGGAAAACAGCAAATAAAATGCCTTTGGAAATCCTATTTATAATGATGCATGCTGAACCAAATGTTGCCAAGGAATGTATAAAGGTAATAATGAATATTTAAGTCGAGTTTGATGCATTTTGGAGGCGAAAAACAGACATTTTGGGTGAGGATCTGTATCTCAAGAAAAAAATTATAGAAAAACCAAATTTGCCTAATGAGCCGCTTAACAGTGAAAAACTTAAATAAAAATTATGAAACAAAAAAAAAAAAAAAAAAAAAAATTCAAAATTATCGTTTGCATTATTTGAAGGAAGAAATAAAGGAGTAGAAGCATAACAGGCCACTTTAAGAATTTGGAGAGATAAAATATCGAAATTAAATAAAAAGGCACACAATTATGTGCCTGTGTTTTTCCCATCATAAAAAAATTTTCTTTTATTTGTAATCTATTGTAGTTGTTGTACCAAAATGCATCAAAACAATGAAAAGCTGTTTCACAGGTCATATTGTAGGTTGCCATATTTTCAAACTTTAATTAATGTTATTTTAATTACAAAGCATTTATAAAGCGGATTCTTGATATTTCACATTTGTATTGTTATAAAGTTTAAACCACAATAAAAAGTAACAATTTTTAATAAAATAATTAATAAATAAAATATTAAAAATTATTACACAATTAAATTACAATGGGGCAACACACATTACAACTTAAATTACAATATGGCAACACACATTACAATTTAAATTATAATATAGCAACACGAATCTTTTTTTCAACCACCATTTTCGAAAACTCGAATTCGCATCTCGCATTTTTTGCGTCTCCCTATTCATTCAGAATAAGGCGAGAATGTGAAAGCGAAAATTTTTGTATATGCGAGATATCTCCCAGCGAATATCCAGAATAAGGCTGAATGTTTCCTATAAATATAAAAATATGCCACCATATTTATCAATTTATGATCAATATTTTTAAAATTTATGAGTAGTTCCGATCCCTAAATTGTTAATATTTCCACAATAACATGTATACAAACTATAAATATTTTAAGAGAGCTAAGTAGTTCCGACCCCTCACATTAAATTTGTATTGCCCAATTTTGAGTAGTTCCGATCCCTAGATTGTTAATATTTCCAATTAATTTAATTTTTACTCAACAATAATATGTATACAAACTATAAATATGTTAAGAGAGCCACGTAGTTCCGTCCCCACACATTAAATTTGTATTGCCCAATTAATGTTAATATTTAAGAAGGTTGAGTAGTTTCAATCCCTCCCTTTTAAATAATATTTTTTTAATTTTATATATTTATATTATAATATTTTTTGAGCAGTTTTACACCTCTTTTTGAGCAATATTAATTCAATTTGTCAGAATGAAATTTATATTTTTAATATTTTTTACCTTAATTTAAGTTTGGTTTTATACAACTATATATGTTGTTACAGTTCAGCACGGAGGAAGGTTGCCAAAAAACATCAGTTCATACCAGAAATTGTTATTACAATAAAAAACCAGTAAGGATAGCTTAAAAGTCGGACGGGGCCGACAATATGATACCCTTCGCCACTTTGGTTACATACAAGAGATGCTAATACATACAATATCCTGGAAGACCATTGAGATGAAATCGGGCAAAATTAAGTGTGTGGTCCACAATTAAAAAAAAACCATACACATACCATTCTGAAATCAATGAAAAATTGCATGTCAAACGAGCAGCCTTGGATTATTTGGTGTACCATTTGTATGAAATCGAGCAAAATTATGTATGGGAGCTATATATACGGACCTAATTAAGCAACCATTTGTTTTTTGCAACTTTTATCCACATTACACTGAACTCAATTTAATACCCTCTGCCAAATTTCTTGTAAATCGAACAAACATAGGCTCTTCGGTGCACCATTTACATGAAATCGGAAGAAAATATATTTAAGACCTATATCTAAATTTGAACCGATTTCAAAAAAACTTAACAAAACTTAACTATCAGAAGAAACTATATATGGGAGTTACATCTAAATCTGAACCGATTTTAACAAAACTTCGCATACATCAGTCTGAACATAAGTCAGTATGCTGTGCTAAATTTTGTCCCAATCGGAGAAATATTGGGAGTTTGGTGCACTATTTAAATAAAATCGGACGAAAATATATATGGGAGCTTTATCTAAATCTGTTTGGTGCACTGTTTAAATAAAATCGAACGAAAATATATATGGGAGCTTTATCTAAATCTGAACCGCCAAATTTATTGTAAATCGAACAAATATAGGCTCTTCGGTGCACCATTTACATGAAATCGGAAGAAAATATATATAAGACCTATATCTAAATTTGAACCGATTTCAAAAAAACTTAACAAAACTTAACTATCAGAAGAAACTATATATGGGAGTTACATCTAAATCTGAACCGATTTTAACAAAACTTCGCATACATCAGTCTGAACATAAGTCAGTATGCTGTGCTAAATTTTGTCCCAATCGGACAAATATTGGGAGTTTGGTGCACTATTTAAATAAAATCGGACGAAAATATATATGGGAGCTTTATCTAAATCTGTTTGGTGCACTGTTTAAATAAAATCGAACGAAAATATATATGGGAGCTTTATCTAAATCTGAACCGCCAAATTTATTGTAAATCGAACAAATATAGGCTCTTCGGTGCACCATTTACATGAAATCGGAAGAAAATATATATAAGACCTATATCTAAATTTGAACCGATTTCAAAAAAACTTAACTATCAGAAGAAACTATATATGGGAGTTACATCTAAATCTGAACCGATTTTAACAAAACTTCGCATACATCAGTCTGAACATAAGTCAGTATGCTGTGCTAAATTTTGTCCCAATCGGACAAATATTGGGAGTTTGGTGCACTATTTTAATAAAATCGATCAAAAAAATATATGGGAGCTTTATCTAAATCTGTTTGGTGCACTATTTAAATAAAATCGGACGAAAATATATATATGGGAGCTTTATCTAAATCTGAACCGATTTTTTCCAATTTCTATAGGGTTTGTCCTTGGACCAAGGCCTACATGCGCGGAAACTATCAAGAAAGTTCTTTTATTTCTGAAAAGAATCGGAATGCCAGATTGGCTCTTGCAAAATATTAATTGGAATCCGACTTGAGTGGAGATATATTATGCTCTCGGTAGAATTAAAGATAAATATTAAAGACATAAAAAATATTACCGTGAGAAAGTTTTGCTTTAATTTTGGCCACCAGTGTATATTCTTGATCGAAATATAATTCTATGTCGACATAGCAATGTCATCTATTCCTATAATTTGTCATCATTGTCATCTATATTTTTAAACCCTTGATCAATATTCATGTTTGAGAATTAAAACAAATTAATAAATAAATGTTATGGAATTTTAGTTATTAAATATTTCGAAAAAGGGGCCGAATCTTAGCAGGTAAACCCATATAACTGTTCACATTTTCGGTATTTTCAGGATTTTTAGACACATTTTCCAACCTAATTATCTCTCATTTTATGCAGGGTGAGATAAAAAAGTGCAACAAAGTCAAACGCCATAATTTTAACAATTGTTTTTAAATTTTATTGAATGAAAGCAAAATATATCGGAAATAGCATTAAATTTTAGAATAAGTTTAGATTTGTTCGAACGGGTCATCTTTGGCACGAATTATGGCCTTCAAACGGCCAATGAAATCGTCACACGCTGCCCGATATTTTGGCCCATTCCCGGCGAAGCGCTTGCTTGCGGTGATCGACACTTTGGTATTTTTAGTGCCAACCTTGCTTTCCAACATACTCCAGACACAATAGTCCAACGGATTGGTATCTGGAGATTTTGGTGGCCATTGTGCGCAGGGAATGAAGCGAGGAACCTTATTTTGTAACCATTCTTGGGCGGCGCGTGCTGAGTCTTGTTGGAATGTCTGCGGCCAACATTTTTGCGTGCCCAAGGCTTTAATAGGCACCCTCCAGAATATTTTCGCGATAATATTCGGCATTTATTCTGATGCCACGGTCGGTTAATACGAGAGGAGAGCGACCATCGGCTGTTATGGCGGCCTACGCCATCACCATGGCCGGCGCTTGAGTTCTGGTGGCCAACCGAAGATGCATATTTTCAGCAGACCTCTTTGGCAAGTAAACACGATCATTTTGTTTGTTTACAACCTGCTGGAAAACGAATGTTTTTTTTCATCGGAGAAAACCAAATTCGACAGTTCACCACTTTCGGCCAAGCAAAGCAACTCCTTAGCTCTTTTGAGTCTATTTTCTTTCTGTTGCGGTGTAAGATCTTTCACTTTTTGGAATTTAATGGCTTTACCCCGACCTCATTTTTCAATATTTGCCGAATGGAATATTGGGATATGTTCAGCTCACGAGCCATTTTTCGGCCACTGCGACGCGCACTTCGATCAAGTCGCTTCTTTACTTTTCGAACCATTTCTGCTGATGTTGCTGTTTTCTTCCGTCCACTTCCTTGACGTTGGGCTACGCTACCAATGTCACTGTAACGAGTGATGGTACGAGACACAAAAGATTTATTCACATTTAAATGCTGGAGTGCTCTAACGATAGCCAATTGTGGTTTTCCAGCCAAATATAAAGAAATCACGTTATGACGCTTGAATTCCATCACGAATAACTTTTTTCTGGAAACTTTTCACCAAAATGCTTTTGTACGCTTGTAAACAATGCAATGAGCGGAATTTTAACAGCTGTCGGACGAGTGGCTTAGAAATGAAGGCAGTATTCCTTGTGCCCTATGGGTTGCAAAATATCCTTGGAAAACATTGTCGACATAGGTCCACTTCGTTGCTATGTTCCTTGTAAAATATAAAAATCCCAAGATTATTCGCTTCGGACCAAAAATTTGCCCCGGGGTTTTAACGCATTCTATATATTCAGAATTAAAACCTACTATTATTTTTATTATACCCTTCACCACTCTGCTTTTTAACAGGCAAAAGGAAACGAGATAGACATTCTATATATTCAGATGTTAAATTGTAAACAAAGTACAGGTCGCATTTATGATCCGATTTGAATTACATACACCAAAGTCGCTATATATCTTTCGATTTGCACGAAATTTGGCATAACGTACTGAATTGAGCCTAGAAAGATGTCTGCCAAGTTTCAAGAAAATCGGTCCAGATTTCTATATAGCTCCCATATATAGTTTCGTCCGATTTCATGTAAATGATGCACCAAAGTCGCTATATATCTTTCGATTTGCACGAAATTTGGCATAACGTACTGAATTGAGCCTAGAATGATGTCTGCCAAGTTTCGAGAAAATCGGTCCAGATTTAGATATAGCTCCCATATATAGTTTCGTCCAATTTCATGTACATGGTGCACCAAAGTCGCTATATATCTTTCGATTTGCACGAAATTTTGCATAACGTACTGAATTGAGTCTACAATGATGTCTGCCAAGTTTCGTGAAAATCGGTCAAGATTTAGATATAGCTCCCATATATAGTTTCGTCGGATTTCATGTAAATGGTGCACCAAAGTCCCTATATATCTTTCGATTTGCACGAAATTTGGCATAACGTACTGAATTGAGCCTAGAAAGATGTCTGCCAAATTTCGAGCAAATCGGTCCAGATTTAGATATAGCTCCCATATATAGTTTCGTCCGATTTCATGTAAATGATGCACCAAAGTCGCAATATATCTTTCGATTTGCACGAAATTTGGCATAACGTACTCAATTGAGCCTAGAGCGATGTCTGCCTTTTTTCGTGAAAATCGGTCCAGATTTAGATATAGCTCCCATATATAGTTTCGTCCGATTTCATGTAAATGGTGCACCAAAGTCGCTAAATATCTTTCTATTTGCAAGAAATTTGGCATAACGTACTGAATTGAGTCTAGAATGAATGTCTGCCAAGTTTCGAGAAAACCGGTCCAGATTTCTATATAGCTCCCATATATAGTTTCGTCCGATTTCATGTATATGGTTCACCCAAGTCTCTATATATCTTTCACGATAGTTGCACGTTTAATATACCCATAGTGGTGAAGGGTATCCTGTAATACTTTCCTTACTGGTTAAAATTGTCCTCTTTTTATTTTTATCATCTATTTTCATTTTCAAAATCTGGTCTCCTTTTGGTATTAAAAATAGGATACATATCAGTGCACTTTTGGGCACGCTTTCATCTTAATCAGATGGGGTTAAAAATCTTACTCGCTCTAATTTGATATTTTTGATTCAAATTAGAGCCGATATCATTATTTTTGAAAAAGTTATGCGGCTTTTATTAACCTTGCGATTTTAGTTGGTTTAGTTTTGGCCACCAGTGGATATACATAATTAACAATAGTTCCGTTCCAGAACCTAAAAGAATATAGAATAATATTTTACATGTTTTCCAACTTTTTACTCGAAAACCGTTCCTCATCCCACAAAACTGGTAAACAGGAATGTCTACTTCTGATTGGCTGTTAAGTACGAACGGTTTGTTTTTGGCCTAAAAGTATGCTATAATTTTCTTTACAAACCAGCAGCAGCCAATATAAAAGAAAAATTGCCAGTTTTACAAAAACCATTTTGGTGTGGATTTTTCATTTTTAGGTAATAGGCGGCCAGAACCGAGTAGTAAGTATCGATTGGAAGATATTGGCATTCAAATAACTCAGCGAATACTTTACCGATTTTTATAAATTTTACACCAATGGTTATTTCGTCTAATGAATACATACATGTTATGTTAGAGAAAATTCGTAATATGTATGTAAAAATTAAGGGTATACACGTCATAAAGGAGACGACCCAAACAAGGAGCAAAACTTATCAAGCAACGAAGAAGCTATCTATAAACTTATTGAAATTAAATCGTCTGATGAAGAGACGCAGCGAATATTTAATGAATATTTAATCCACTTAGGACAAAGGTGAGCTTCGAAAACAGTCACCACATCGGAGAAGTTAGAACAAAATATTGATTGTGCCATACCAACATCAGAATCATTCCCAACGCCAGTTTGATATCCACCTTCTGCAAAAAAACGTAAATTTTATGCACTCAAGAGGATTGGAACTATCTCGCAATTTTCTTCTTGACAATCTTGTAGAAGTTCTTTGTTGCTCTCTGACAATAGCAACATCCTCTAAATATGCTCTAAGTATAATACTATTCATTTTTTTCGTTTCAATTCATTTTTTCTTTTTCATTATTTCGTAAAACACAAACACTTGAAATTTGCGCAAACAAATAAGGGTACACAAAGTATGAAAAAGACCCACAGTTGATTAGAAGGAGATGCCATATTCCAAAAATTTTACTCCTACATTTTCGACGATTGGAGGATTTTTCTCTCGAGCGAAATGCTTTCCGTAGGAATAGAATTTCTCCAACATTTTGACGATTGGGATGTATGAGAACATAGTCCAAATATAAAATTCCGTCCCACTTGCGAACTTTTTAAGATTTTCGAAACATTTTTTCACCGTAGTAACAGTAATTTGGCATTCCGCATTTTTGAATGTTGACACAACGCCTCCATACAATTTCGTTACTTGTAATTTCGCATTCAGAGTTTCAGGTCAATCTCTTGAGGGAAGACCATTAATATGGCATCTGGTGCTCAATATAAGTCGCAAATACAGGGAAAACATTTCCTTTCACATTCCTTTTAAAGGTCCTTGGGCATGAGTCTGCATGTACTCAAAGCTTACTCACGGAACAAAAAGGCCACAGTAAAAAAACAGATTTTTGAACATTAAATAATGATTTAAATTATATGTAGTTATTTTATTTGAATTGAAATATATACATACATACTTATATCTAAAATAATAGAGCGTTAACTTATGTTTATTTATATAATTGAGCTGTTTTAAAATCAATTTTTTTATATACACACAGGTATTTTATTTTAATGATTATTATTTATTTTTAATTGCATTTGACTTACTAATTTGTTATTGGTTTTTGTATTGATTTGTATGTATATCGTATACTTTTTTTAGATTATTTTCAGATTTTTCAAATTATCACATGAAATGTTAAGATTTTTTATTTGTTTTTGTTATAATTTTTTTTTCATATTATGGTATATTCTTTTTCGTTAGCCCTATTATAGTATTAGATGATAGTTTTTTATTATAATGAATATTTTCATTGTTTTAAGTTTCTTGTATGGCCTCATTAAGGATTTTATAATTTTCAAGCGTCAATTTTCTTTTTATATATTTTACATTTGCTAATTTACATTGGAGTTTACAATATTGTTATTATTAATAATTATACAATTAAAGGAAATAATTTTATCATGTTATACTTTTTTATATATCCTATACTATTTGTTATCAAGGGTAACGTTTTAGTTGTTTGATTATAAAATGAAATAGAAAATAATGACAAAAAAATTAAAACATATATTTTTTGAAATTTATTTATAATTCCAGACCTATGACGAAGAATCTCGAATGCGATCGATTGGCTCCTCTTTTAAATGTAATCAATTTTTGTTCTCAATAAAATTACCAACAATATCCATCATTGCTACTGAAGTAGTTGCCTCTAAAATTGAATTTATTTGTTCCTCATCATCATCATCGTCAAATTAAGTATAAAATACAAATTAAACACAAATATTTTTTTTTTAAATTTATTTATAATTTTCAAATTTTTCTGATGCTATTAATATAGAAGGCGTGGATTTTTTAAATCTTCCACAATGCTTAAGTCGTGTTTTTTTTAAGAATTTGTAAAGCCTTCCACAAGACCTTAAGGCGTGGATTTTTTAAAGAATTTTTGAAACCTTCCACAAGGCCGTAAGACGGAGATTTTTTTAAATCTTTCACAATGCCTTAGATAATTTTTAAAGTCATCCGCAAGGCCTCAAGGCATGGAATTTGAAAAAATTTTTGAAATCTTCCGCAAGGCCTTAAAACGTGGATTTTTAGAGAAATTCTAAAACATTCCACAAGGCCTTAAGACGTGGATTTTTTGAGAACCATTAGCAAGGCCTTAAGGCGTCGAGTTTTGAAAAAAATTTTAAAACATTCCACAAAGCCATAAGACGTGGGTTTTTTAAAGAATTTTTAAAACCTTCACTATGCCTTAAGGCGTGGATTTTTTAAGAATTTTTAAAACCTTCCGCAAGGACTTAAGGCGTGGGTTTTTTAAAGAATTTTTACAACCTTCACAAGGCCTTTAGGCGTGGAGTTTCTAAAGATTTTTTAAAATCTTCCACAAGGCCTTAAGGCGTGGATTTTTAAAACCTTCCACAAGGCCTTGAGGCGTGGATTATTTAACGAATTTTTAAAGCCTTCAACAAGGCCTTGAGGCGTGGATTATTTAACGAATTTTTAAAACCTTCCACAAGGCCCTAAGGCTTGGATATTTTTAAGAATTTTTAAAACCTTCCACAAGGCCTTAAGGCGTGGATTTTTTAAAGAATTTTTTAAACCTTCACAAGGCCTTTTAGACATATAATTGTGCAGCGGATTTAGGCCACCGCGAGCATACCTCAGTAATCGGAGGAAATTAGAATCGATGGAACTACTTGAAGTCGACCATGTCGTAGTAAATAGGCAATCCATTTAGCGCAACTGAATCCGATTAACTGTCGCCTCTTGCACGCCCTGTTAATTGGATAATGTTACGCACTTTGACAGTTAATCGAGACATCAGAAACAAGTGATCCACAAAATATCCAAATCTAAATTATTGGTCTCTTCCAGAACTATTCCCCAATCAATAGAAATTGATTCTGACTCTTTAAAAAATACATAAATAAACAAAAATATCTTCCAATTATTTTACAATATACCTTAAATATCTATTTAACACTTAACATAGTGCATACGAAATATAGCAGTATCTATTTTATTATTTCAAAATAATTTTTGGCACAAAATTTGTTTTTGTTTGTTTTTTTTTCTTGTTGTGGATTATTTGTTTTGTTTTGGACTGGAAGATCTTTTTCAAAATGATTTTTTTCGATTTCATTAAATTTTAAATTTCTTGCATTTCAGTATCATCAGCATTATCATTTACAACGGAAGAGGCGGCCGAATGCGGCGAGGAAGAGGAGGAGCAGGCCGACGATGAAGAATCTCGAATGCGATTGGTTGTCTGCTCTTTTAAATGTAATCCATTTTTGTTCTCAATAAAATTATCATCAATATCCATCATGGCGGCAGAAGTAGTTGCCTCTAAATTAGAATTTATTTGTTCCTTATCATCCTCATCATTGTCGGCTTTTGCTCGACATTCTGTATCTTCAGCATCATCTATCAAATCACTCGGTATTTTAGATTGTTGAGGACTCCCATCTTTATTTTGTCCATTCGTGAGAGGTGGCGGCGAAGAAGTCGAGACAACATTGCCTAGTTGTTTTGTGGTCACTGTGGTGTCCTTTGTTTCCTTGTGTTCGGCTTTCATCAATGACGTTGTCGCCTGCTGAAGTTTTTCACTTTTGCTGGTGGCTTTAGACTTTTTGGATAAAGCCGCCGCTGTACCTTCCACCCCATTCAATTTGTTGGCCACGGCTAAAGCATTTGATATTTTCGATGCGGCCAATTTACTTTCAAAATCCATTTCGCCATAATGTGGACTTTGTTGGCCACCTTGTTGCTGTTGTTGTTGCTGGGCGGCAGCAGCGGCACGTAACAATGTTAATTGTAACTCGCGATGTTGTGGCGATTCCTCCATTTTGATTTCGAGTTTTTCAGTCTGTTCCAAGGGTGCTGCAGGCTCAACCGTTAATGGAATAGCATGATGATGGTGCGGTATGGCAGCATGATGACGATGGTGATGATGGCCACGCTGGTGGTGATGATGATGATGGTTGTGATGGCTGTTGTGCAATTGTTTATTGTTAGCTGATGCCGGACTGGGGCCATTCTTGTTATCCATTACTGCATTTGTATTATTTGCTAATTTGCCAGGAGCAGCAGCAGCACCAACGCCAGTTGTTGCAATCTGACCTGAAGCAGCTTGTAATGCATGTTGTAAACTACTACTACTAGTAGTAGTGCCGCCAGTGGCTTGCTGCTCATGCTTTGCCGAACCTGTAGCACTTTTTGAGGTTTTCTCCAGCAGAGCATTCAATTGTTTTTTGATTTTTGTCGCTTGTTTAGCGGTTAATTTTGCACTTAATTCATTTGCAATGTTGCGTTTACCTTCGGCATTAGCTGATGCTGCTGCTGGCTCACCACCGCTATTGCAGCTATTTCTTGTGCCATTGATGTGAGCATTTTTCTTTGTTGTAGCCAAGGCGGTGGAGGATGAGGACGATGATGATGTCGTTGTTGTTAAAATCGCATCAGTGTTTGCGGTCATCAATGGTCCATTTGATGATGATGCTGCGACTGATTTGCCATTTGTTGTAATGTTGTTACTCTCCATTGTTGTTGGGGATGATATTGGTGCTGTAGAGGATGATGTTGTTGTAGCCACCGCCGGTGTTGCTGTTACCGATGAGGTCGTCATCGATGATGTACTACTATTTGTTGTGGCTGTTGTCGTTGTTTTACCCGAATTGGCGGATTTAACCTCAGCTGCCTCAGAGTTAGTAACATTATCTTGCCTTTTCCATTTGGTTCGGCGATTTTGAAACCATATTTTAACCTAAAAAAGAAAAAAAAACAATAGAAAGAACAAATAAGTAAAGAGCTTTAATTACGAAATTTTAATGAATATATTTTAAGGAGATATATTAAAAATATATTTGGTTTCCAGAGACCCTAAAAAACCACTCCCATCCGAAACGCCAAGTAAGTTTCCCTTGGCACCTTGCCCCAATGATCATGGTCAAACTAGTGAGTTTTCCAAGTCACTCGTTCCAGAGACTGCTAAATAACCCCATTCAGTGGATGAGGCTGCACATTGAGAGGAGAAATTATATATGCGATGTACAATGTAATCAATTTTTGTTCTCAATAAAGTTATACTTCACGTCGACAGATGACATACTGATGCTTCCTAGGCATGAAATCATTGACGTGGATATGTATTCTGAAGATATGTATTACCAAATGCGCTAATATTAAAGAAGCTCCTGGCAAGAAGTTATAATGAAGGGCGATCAGTTTCAGCAAACGATTTTCCGAATGGAATACGAATACCATCACAATCATCATCATGGCTGAAATAGTTGGCTCTAATTACCCCACACGTTATATTACATCCTACCACGAGCAAGGATCTCAACACATATTGTAAGTTATACATCTCATTCTCTACCTACCACTCCTTTTTAAATGTAATTAATTTTTGTTCTCAATAAAATTATCATCAATTATCCGTGGCTAAAGTAGTCGCCACTAAATCACACTTTATATTTACCATACCATAATGGACCTAGCAAAAACCAAAATCACAACAAGCTGAAAACGTTCGAAACTGAAAACATATTTTCGTATTTTATAGTCGACCTAAAATTCAGAGGTTGTCTGAGGCAGTTTTCATTGATCTGAAGTTCAGGGAATCATTATAGAAGTTCTTAAGTTGATGTATTGAGTCTTTATACAAGACATTCAGGGAGTCTTTCTAGACAAGCTAATCATCGAAATGTTCATATTTTTCCTACTTCGTCTGGTATGATTCTCCCTTAAAAGACGACAATTACGTCATGGGTAACACGACGGTTATTGAGGTGGCATAGGCGGACTGTTCGTCGACAAATGGTAGGCTAATGCTTCTGAGGCAAGAAACCGTTGACGTGGATATGCATTTTGGATAACGTATCAGTATGGTTACCATGATAGTAATCGAAGTGACTCCTCCAATTCTAGCCTTAGTTTTATTTTGTCATCAATCTTGCCAATTTACCCATTGTTTCTTCATGGGTTGTCTCTGCGTTGTCTGGTTGATACCTATAAAGTACGTATAGAACGATGGTCATTATTTCAGCTATGTCATGCTTTGTTCGCTGGTCCAGTCGATCAGATGTCAATATCTCTATAAGTAAGGACCCTTTTCTAGCAGGTATCCCACTCATTTGTAGAAAGAGAATGATTATTTCTTTCCCTTCGCAAACCTCCTCTTAAATATAATCTCAGCGAAGCTATCATTTCCCATTTTCCTCACCACTCTTACACAAAAAATGTATTTCTAATTTATGACTTCATCAATTTTCTGAACTATTTATAATTCACAAACTTTTAATAGGGCGAGAGATACAAAATTTATATTTACAGGCGATGCCGTTCGTGTTGTCCAAAGTATTTTGTAACTCATCGATAATTAACATAACACGAATCATTAAAAATTTATCAATCGTTACGCATTAACACGCAATTTGCAATTTTGGCAAGAAAATTCATCATCATCACATCGTCATCCGCAGTATTGACGTAGCTGCTCAGCAGCAAAATTAGAAAATATTAAAGAGCTTGTTTTGATATTTTTCCGAATCTAATAAGATGTCAGCAGGTTTTGGGGATGAGATCGACGAGGCAGAATTAAGATTCCACACCGACATGTCGACGCTTCCGTGGCAAAAAGCGAAGATGAAATACCACGTTCACGTCGACAGGTTACAAGCTTCCGAGTCATGAAGCCATAGAGGCGGATATGAATAACGTCATCAGTACCTCATGGTTAATACGGTAACCGAGGTGACTCCTCGGACTCAAGAAGAATGACATCCACAGGTGGTAAGCTGATACATTCATGGATGAGTTCCCCTTAAGAAAAATTAAAGAAAAGCATTCGACAAGAAGTTATACTTCTCGTCGACAGATGGAATATTGATGCTTCCTAGGCATGAAATCATTGAAGTGGATGTGTATTCTGAAGAGTTCCCCATTGCTAAAATTTAATATTCACTACCATCAATTACCAAATGCGCTAATATTAAAGAAACTTCTGGAAAGAAGTTATACCGAAGGGTGATGAATTTCTGTATCCGATTTGACGAACGGAATACGAATATCATCACTGACAAGGAATGCATCGGGAAGTCCACCAGAATCTACGCCTGTAGCCCGAGTAATGCTGCAAAATTGTTTTTGAAATACCATCGGAGCTATATGCGTGGAAAACAAATTAATTTTAAAGGAATATTAAATACGGCAGGTGTAGATTTTTACTGGGGGAAACCCTAAAAGCCGACGACAGAACTTCAGATGAGTTATTTCGACCTCGATTCGTATCAGTTTGTAAGAAGAAAGACTGTCTCCGAAGTGGAAGAAACAACGTGGCTGATGATAAAGAATAGAGCACGAGACCAGTTTGCTCCTGCTTTAAATGTAATCCATATTTGTTCTCAAAATTATCATCAATACAAAGCTGCAGGAAAAGATTGTTAACGGTGGAAGCTCTAAAAGCCAACGACAGAACCGCAGATGATTTATTTCGACCTCAAATCGTATCAGTTTGGAGGAAGAAAAACTGTCTCAGAAGTGGAAGAAACAACAAGGCCGATAATGAAGAATAGATTATGAGATCAATTGGCTCCTGCTTAAAAGTAATCAATTTTTGTTCTCAATAAAATTAGACGTCAGTAGACTTTCCAAGCCACTATCACAAGATATATTGTCACTTATCACCCTGGGGTTTTCACTAACGTTTATATAATATTTTTTTGCTGTGTTGGAAGCAGTTTCCCGTGTGTATTGATTAAAGTGGAATATGTGTCGAAATCCCAGTAAATGTTTATATTCTTAAGTAGAACTACCACTAATTTTCAGAATGTTAGAACGTGAATTGGCAGGAGAAGATTGTTTACGGTCAGAAGCTCTAAAAGCCGACGACAGAAGATGTGCATCATTGTGAAGTTACCCACAAAAGGCGTCATGAAGAATTATAACAACTGAAGAGGGATAACCAGGCCCAACACCATGCATGTGAAAATAAATGATGTCCTCTATCACATATACTGTTCAAAATTGTACCGGATAAAATAATTAATGAAGTCTGCTCTCAAAGAAGAGGCACATAACATGGATTTTCTAACGGAAACTCGAAGACTTAGATTATGCCGATAATATCAGTTTTTTGTCTCGCTGGATATCGAACAGACAGTAAAAAATTAGAAGACCTGGCGATGCTGGCTCGCAATATTGGACTTCAGATTGCATGTATTCATAAATATACCTACAGTGAGTAGAATTTTTAAGAATATTGTTAAAAGATCTGCAAGGCGTAGATTTTCAAAAGAATATTTTGAAGGGACCTACAAGGTATAGATTTTTTTTTATAAAATATTTCTCAAAAGACCTACAAGAAGTAGATTTTTTAAAGAATATTTTTAAAGCACAAGGTGTAGATTCACTAATATAATTATTTAAATAACATCTTCAATAAAAAATGTTTCCTATTAATTATTTAAAATATTTTTATATTTCATCATCAATCCCATTTGTCAAGTAAATGATGTATATCCGTATGTATGTGTGTGTGTTTACGAAAATATCTGCCATGAATTATGAGTTATTAGAAGAACAAGGTGTCTAAATTCCCCCAACAGTTGATTTGCTGTACGACCTGTCATTCTTCGAACCATTTCAAAAAAAAAAAAAAAAAAAAAAATTACAAAATATCGCACATTCTCAATAAGAAATATGGTCTCGTGAATATGAGGGCATATCACTTAACACATTTACAAAATAGTTGGATGTTTGTGCTTATATTCCATAGGGATTGATGGACTCATTTCATTCGATGGCAAGATAAATGTCTATTTTTGTGAGTACCTTGAAGATGACGCCGGATGGTGTTGTTTTTGGGTTTTTGGGAGGAAGAAGAATATTTCATAGTTGTGAATGATGTTTTTTTTTATTTCATATTTTTTTAAGTATTTCAATTTCTTTTTTTCTTGTTTCTGTTTTTCATCATGGGTAATGGGCATTCAATAGAGTCAATTTTTCATGAGTCCACAGTTGAGGAAGTAGGTAAGCAGGCAGGCAGCAGCACTAATTAAGTGCGTGATTTAAATAGACATCATTTGGATTGCATGCAACATTGGCAAGATGCGTTGTGGAGTAGTAGGAAGGGGAGATGGGGGATATGTGTGTGAGAGAGTTGGGGGCATGTTTGTATTGAAAACATATGGTGGGGATGCGTGCTTGAGTGCAATCGGAGATCTATGGGAAGTGTGTAAGCACGTCATCAATTTTTTATAGAATATATTTCAGAGAAGCCTACAAAGCGTAGATTTTATAAGAAATATTTATCAAAGGACCTACAAGGCGTAGATTTCTTAAAGGACCTTCAAGGCGTAGACTTTTTAAAGAATATTTTTTAAAGAACCTACAAGGCGTATATTTTGTAATGAATATTTTTTAAAGATTCTTTAAAGGATATTTTTCAAAGAACCCCAAATACGTAGAATTTTTTAGGAATATTTTTCTAAGGACCTACAATACATAGATTTTTTAAAAAAATATTTTTAAAAGATCCTACAAATTGGCCCAGATTTAGATGTAGCTCCAGATCGCTCCAAATTTAGATATTGCTCCCATATATATTTTCGTCAGAATTGTTTAAAGAACCAAAATTGAAATCCGTATATTTTTTCCATACCATTTCTTCTTATTTTAAATTTGCCCTCAATCTGCTGCCGACAACCCACTATTCGTTTCAATCACACATGACGGCACCATTCACACTTGTTTTCAATCTTT